ACATTTGCAAGTCTATTTTAAAAAGAAAATCAATATTCTCATTTCACTGTTATGTTGTGAACAGGGATTTTTAATCACAGAAGAGGCTCTGGATTCTTTATTCAAGGGCAGTTTATTTATGCACAGCCAAATTCTCATCACAACAAATACTCTAGATTAATGCAACTGGCTGTCAGGAAGCCAGTTATTGCAAAAGTATATAATTTCCACTAAAAATAAAATCATACAGGAAATTCAAATGAAAAATCTACAAGTTGTGGACGCAAGAAGAACCACAGCAAACCAGTACAGTAGTACAAGACCATTTCCCTCAACATTCTAGCTTCCTAGATAGCAATGTGCATCCTCAGTCCTCATCAGGCTATCAGGAGTAGTAATTTTTACTAAATTTACAAATTATTGTATTTATACATAGTTGGGGAGTTCTACGTATGCAGAAACCACTATCCTGCAGCTCTTTCAACAGGCACAGAACCATGAGCTTCAAGATTAAATGGAAAGGCTGGAAGCCAGCAAATATCTGTAAGTGCACTAGAAATTCCCATCCTCCCACCACTCCCAAACTTTGGAGGGGGGGTGCTTAAGCAGGCTAATTTCCCCACATCCCCTCTCATTTCCCACTGACTCAAACATTCTGTACCTCTAGAACACACTTAGTTCTCAGCAAAGGAGCTGTCGAGATTAATTTGCAAAGTTGCATACCTGGAGCATTCCCCATATCTGAAGAATCTCCTACATGTTTATTGGTGACCTGGTTTTGCTTCTTTTATGATCACCACAAAACATCTACTTCATTATTAAATATAGGAACTCAGGGGGGTCTGCAAGTATCTGGGGGTTGGGGAATGATTGGTAACCCACCCCAATCCAAACCTCTGACTCCAACTGGCTTCAGCAGGCCTATTTTCTTAATCTCCCACTGTCTTCTTTATACTTTGCTTTGACTCTCAACATTCTGAGAGCAATGTACATGTTCGATCTGTATCAGGCTGTTGGGGGAAGGGTAAATTCTTTTCCATTTGCAACTAATACTTCCTGCATATATGGGAGTCCCTTGAATATGCAGAAATCATAATCTTCATGGGGTTCCATCTGAATGACTTCTGATAAGCATAATTTAACTTTGTTAATTAAGGGAATGACAATATGCAAAGTGTAGGATAAAGGATTACATTCATTTAAATGTTTTAACACAAATTTGAAGTTTTACATTTTATTCAGTATCAAGGGAATTTACCATATGCCACAGAAGCTTGCAGGGGGACCCTGGGCCAGTCACACACACACTAAGCCTAAACTACCTCACAGGCTGTGGTGAGGATAAAATGGAGAAGGAGAATGATGTAAGCCACTGTGGATCCCCATTGAAAAGAAAGGTGGAGGATTAATTAAATAAATATTCAGCAGTAAAGCTACAATAATAAAAACATTAACATATTATACACAAGTATCTGGTCCATGGAGTCGCAAAGAGTCGGACTCGACTGTGCGACTGAACTACAAAAAATATTAGCATAACTTATGTGCATATAACAGACAGCAGCTTAATAAAAATCAGTAGAGATATATGTTAAGGTCAAACAAGAAAAGTCTTTTTTTCTGAGTGCGATATTAATTAGTGAGAAATATTCTAGCCTGATAACTGATATGACAAACTTAATCCATGGTCTGACGTGGTGGTGGTGGAAAATGCCATCAAATCGCAACCAACATATGGCGGCCCAGTAGGGTTTTCAAGGCAAGACACGTTCAAAGGTGGATTTGCCACTGTCTGCTTCTGCATAGCAGCCCTGGACTTCCTTGATGGTCTCCCATCCAAATACTAATCAGGGCTGACCTTGCTTAGCTTCTGAAAGCTAATGAGATCGGGCTAGCCTGGGCCATACAAGTCAGGGCAAAAGTCTGAACGTTCACCTCAAAATCTGAAGACAACACTAGGCTTTTTTTTTTGGGTGGAATCAACTGACTCTGGGAGAGCTTTAAAAATAGTTTTAAGAACAGTCTTACAAACAAAATCGTATGGAGAGCATCCACTTCCCAGGTGCTTCTCCCTCCCTACAAGCTACTAGAATGTAGACAGAGGTAGGAAAGACTGCCTCCATTAGCACAGTATTGTGACAAAACCAGCTGCTCTTCCTACCTTCCTGTCACAGAGATAATGACTCAAAGTGCAAGAAAGAAACAGGCTTTAAGTCCGAAGCAGAGAAATACAAAATGAGAGCTAAAGTTTGGTCTCCATAATACTGCTATGGAAGTTATGCATGACCTTCTATTAGCAGGAGCCCTTTTATTGTCAGGAAAAGAGATCCACTTAGAGCCTCACTCTGTTCCCATCGTAGCATATGCAACACTTGTTGCTTGTTGGGCTCTTCTCTGCCTCAGACACAAAGTAAAAATTTTAACTAGAGGCTGGTCTGATTCACAATTGGCATAGGTGACCAGCTGAGTTGCTTTTTCAAGTGTGTAGTAACAAAATTGTTAAGTTTGTAGTGTACCAAACCAAACTTATAATAAACTAGCAGTAAAGCCCGTTGTGGAAATAAATACAACGAGATCTAGAAAGAGGCTCTGGGGGAGTGCTCTGGCTTTGGGCAAACAGTGTCATTTTGCTGTGGTGCCCTCAGCAGGGTATAATGACAGAGTCTACTGTTTTCTCCAGAGGAACTGATCTCTGCTCCCTGAAGAGCAGTTGTAATTTTGAGTGATCTGTAGCCCTCACCTGGAGATTGGCAACAATGGTTCCCCATGAGGGACTGAGTGGTTTGGAGGGTGGAGTCTATGGCATTCTACCTGTCTGAGGTCCCACCCCTCCTCAAACCTCACCCTCTTCAGGCTCCATCCCTCAAATCTCCAGGAATTTCCCATCGGGAGTTGGCAACCCTATCAGGATTGGCCCCAATATGTTTTCTCCCAAAGGCCAAAGTAGGTGACTGGACCAAACTAAGTTGCCTACCATCAGGCACTGAGGGGAAAGTAGGGTTGCCAGCTATAAGGAGGGAAATACCTGGAGTTTTGGGGGGTGGATTCTGTAGAGGGCAGCATTGGGGGGGCGGAAGGACTCAGCAGGTATAATGTCATAGGGTCTACCCTCCAAAGCAGCCATTTTCTCCAGGGGAAACTGATCTCTGTCATCTGGAAATCAATGGAATGGAGTGAAGTCCAATCAGCTTCCATATGCAAAAGACCTTGAAGGTTCCATATGCAACTGACATTCCAACTGCCTTGCGGGGAGGGGGGTGAGTTTGAGGTGTGGAATGCAGTGAAGTCCAATCAGCTTCCATATGCAAAAGACCTTGAAGGTTCCATATGCAACTGACATTCCAACTGCCTTGCGGGGAGGGGGGTGAGTTTGAGGTGTGGAATGCAGTGAAGTCCAATCAGCTTCCATATGCAAAAGACCTTGAAGGTTCCATATGCAACTGACATTCCAACTGCCTTGCGGGGAGGGGGGTGAGTTTGAGGTGTGGAATGCAGTGAAGTCCAATCAGCTTCCATATGCAAAAGACCTTGAAGGTTCCATATGCAACTGACATTCCAACTGCCTTGCGGGGAGGGGGGTGAGTTTGAGGTGTGGAATGCAGTGAAGTCCAATCAGCTTCCATATGCAAAAGACCTTGAAGGTTCCATATGCAACTGACATTCCAACTGCCTTGCGGGGAGGGGGGTGAGTTTGAGGTGTGGAATGCAGTGAAGTCCAATCAGCTTCCATATGCAAAAGACCTTGAAGGTTCCATATGCAACTGACATTCCAACTGCCTTGCGGGGAGGGGGGTGAGTTTGAGGTGTGGAATGCAGTGAAGTCCAATCAGCTTCCATATGCAAAAGACCTTGAAGGTTCCATATGCAACTGACATTCCAACTGCCTTGCGGGGAGGGGGGTGAGTTTGAGGTGTGGAATGCAGTGAAGTCCAATCAGCTTCCATATGCAAAAGACCTTGAAGGTTCCATATGCAACTGACATTCCAACTGCCTTGCGGGGAGGGGGGTGAGTTTGAGGTGTGGAATGCAGTGAAGTCCAATCAGCTTCCATATGCAAAAGACCTTGAAACGCTGGGCGGGACTGCACAAAGCAGCCAGTCAACCCAGCCAGCGTCTTCTGACTGACAGTTCAAGCGTCCATACACTAAAGGAGCCAAATTTAGAATGTTCAATATAGAATGTTCTTACTCAATTATATATAAGGAGAGATCAGTGAAGGCCATCACTACATTCATAATCTGATTCCTAGACTTCAAGATGAAGAACTGGTTTATGTATCATCAGCTCCACCCACGAGGTCCCTAGTAACAAAACAGTACCGTAACAGAATAAGCAGCAGCCAAGGTCAAGCAGTCCCCATACCACTGCCAATAATAAATGTATTAACCCAGAGAAAACTTCAGGCAAGGGACCATGTGGTCCAAATTATGAAACCAAGTTATTGGCATATAATCCAATACAATACATTTCAAGTATTAATGTCAGAAATTCAAAAGCTCTATTGTTTTAGACCTAAAATCTGCAATCATGCACGAGATAGTTTCTTCCACTGCAATAAATTCAGAACATTTTGTGAACTTGCAAGATGCATTCAAAATGTTACTTCAGCTTCAATATGCTGTAGTAAAAGATTTCAGTTTTGAAACAATAGAATAAAATAGCTGGTCCATGCAACATGCTATCATCTGCATATGCTGTTTTAAAAATGGATGAAAACTGCAGCTAACACATCACTCATTACTTCTCTGCTACTTCTCTTCCTAATTTATTAGAAGCCCTAGAATTCTTGATGCACACACAAAATTACAATCACCAACCCCCCCCAAAAAAAAGACTGTAAAAACAATATGAATAGACAACATCAAAACACACATCAGAATTACCATAAAATAATGTATAATAATTTTGGATCAATGTAAAGATGTTAATTTTAGCTGGGGCTTTAAAAGGAGAACTTAAAATGGTCAAGGAAATATAGCTACGGTCAGTAATGCCAAAAGGTAGATAATTATCATACTTACAGATTGTATATCTTGTAATGGTTTTTATGTTTTGAATCCAAAAACCTTAAGAGAAAAATGAACAGCATTATTTTAATTTTCTGCTGAATTAAGGCATAGATATCACCACTTGAACTTTGATATGAAATTTCAGAAACAGAGCTCATCAATTGTACCATGTACTGCTACTGCTCATCATACACACAACCTGTTCCCTAGAACTATTAATGGGAGCAAGTATATCACATTGTAACTGCATTAACCATTCCTCTAAGCATCTTAGTTTTGAAAAACTGATACCAGCATTGTAATACCACCTAGCAGATGCTTTTCCAAGAGATTTTTAACACCAAGAATCATAACTAGAACTCCTGAACAATGGCATTAGATTTCAGCCTTCAAAGAAATCTCTTAACACAAAACAGATTCAATACTAAAGCATCACAACTTGACTCAACTTCACCTGCAGTACAGTAACACATTCATAACCTGAGTGTATTATGCTTACTCAAGAGTTGCTTCCCCCATTCAGTGACAATTTCCAAATAAACTGGAGAAGTAGTGCTACCTAAAATGCACAAAATATTACAGACCATGATGTCTAACTAAGGAAACATACTACCTACTGTTCTATGCATACTAACAGGCTTGAATATCACTCCAAGATCACCTTTCCCCCCATTTTGATCAGTACTCTGGTGAATCCAGGGTTTTGTTGCTTTGTGAGGTCAAACTAATTACCTAGCTAAGCTGATATTGGAACATTAAGAGAGCTGGCTCATTTTCTGAGCAGCAAATGCCACTAAAACCAACAAGCTTCCTAAAACTGAACATAAATGTGTTAACATAAAATTCTCCTCTGTCTTTTGCACAACACTACCACCTGACCTCATGGATCCATACCTCTCAAATTCAGTGAAAATGAAGGTAATCCTCTGGTTACATCATCTCCCAGTGGAGCCACAAGAGAGGAGCCTCTGTGTAAAAGCTATTCTACCAGAGGCCATTAATAGCACCATTACCTGATATTAACACATTCTTCCATGTTACAAGTTGCTTTGGTGCTTTTTTCAGTTGAAGAGAGATTAACAAATGATCAAAATAAATAATCCTTGAACAGCTGATCAAGGAGAGATTTTAGCAAGTTTTAGTTGAATGTGAGACTTGTGTATTTATCCACATAGCTACAGCAGAATCTTTAGGAAGGAAAGAAAGACTTGCCCCAGCCTAAATACCAATCTATTCCATCTATTAAGGTCAGAAGTATTCTTGCAACACTAAGTTTACCCTCAAGTCTTATTTTTGGATTCTCCAAAAAGCCTCTGCATTAAACTCATTCCTATCTGCAGTGAACCAATCATCTCCTTTTTGTCCTGCTAGAAAGTAGTAATCCTGCCCACATACCCTTAAAAAAAAAAGAAGAATAGATAAATGAGTGGCTAACTGCTAAATATATTAAAAGATTCTGTTGTGAAATAGATATAGCCAACATAGAAAACCTAGACCATGCAACAAAAAACTACAGAACTTTATTATCAGCAATATGCCCCAGAGATGCAAGGTCAGTATAATATCATTACCTAACCTTTGCGTCATAACAGCATACTTATATAGAAGGCTGGACTCTCATGAAAGTTGTGATAAGTAACATGATAGTAAACAGAGACAAAATAAAACTTGAAACATTTAATGAAAGGTACAGCAGATATCCACAAACTGGTGGAACCTGCCAACATTTGCAGTTTTGAAAAAGGGCAGTAGCAGGGCACAACCACAAAAATGGCTGCCACAAGAGGACACTTCAGCATTTTCTTCCTCCAAGGGCAAAGGAAAGAGAGAGAAGCCATCATTTAAGGGTATCTGAGTTTACATTTCAGGGAGCGAGAGTTTAATTTTCCCCAATTCTCACCTCCCATACTTAAGTTTAAAATAAAGTTTCAATTACATTAAATGCTCCACCAGTAAGGGGGAAATGGAAGATTTCAATTTTTTAAGAGAGGCAAAGGTGTTAAGCCTACTAACTTTGGCCATACTCTTTGTAGGATCAGGGACAATGATAGAGAAATCCAGCTGAAGCCAATATTGGGGAAGGGAGAGGAGAGCAAGTATAAACAAGTCTTCCAATCTCTTGGTCCTTCATCCCATGTTTAATTTCACTTCTCATAGTGAGAAAGTCTGTTCCCATTCCCCTCCTGTTTTCCAAAGTAGTTTTAAGCAAACACTTGACCCTAAAACTAAGACAACTGCAGCCAAGCTGCAAGCTCAAGGCACTCATTACCCCTTAAACTGCAGCTACTGCCCCAGGTTTCATGGCAAGCAGGTGAAGCTTGGCTCTCCCAACCCCAACTCCACTGACACCAACACAACCCCGGTATCCTCTCACAATATGCATTCATGTCACCTTTAACATACTTTGAAGACAGATGAAAATGTGGCATGGGACAGGGGTGAAGGGCAGAGAGACTACAGAGAAAAAGAGGGAAAGAAAGGAAGGTTTGTGAAAGTTGACAAAAGAAACAGCATAAAGGAGGGAATGTGCATATGGTGAAAGAAGACAAAGAAATAAACCTGGAAAGGAGTAAAGCAAGGAGTGTGAAAAAGGTCAGGAAGCAGGGCAGCAAGCAGGCACCATACTAGAGACTATTGTTACGTCAACATGCACAGCCCCTGAGCTGATTTGTAGTTGCCAATACAAGATAAACAATGGAGATCAAGAAAAGAAAATATGTATTTTTAAACCACAAAACATTATTATTTCTGGGAGTTGTGTTAGCTGAAAAGTGAAGCAACAATTTATTACTCCACTGTCATACTAGCATCACCATCACCAATGTATCTAATTGTCAACACTGCCCCATCAGTGGATACTTAAATTCAGAGATTGGGGCCCTGGACAAACCAAACAGCTCTTTATATAAACCTGAGAAAAGCCCCAGGTTTGCAGAAAAATCTGAATTCTTAAAAGATACACTGGGGTGTTAACTTCAAAAAATGACAAAATGAGTGCCTGTATCCTTAATAGATGTTCTCAGTGGCCATTTCTATGCAACCACAACAGTACTGCCAGTCTCCAAGCCTTGGTTTCTGCCAGTAAAAGGCAGAGGGAGGGGGCAGAGCCCTTTCCAGGGCGATTTTAGCCTTTGTCCAGGCCTAGCAGCAACCACTGGGCAACTTGCTACCCCCTGGCTTGCATGATGTTGCGGAATTAGGGCTTGGATTGAGCCTCAGTCCTCTGTTAATTTCTATGTTACTTTAATTTCTAAAGTAAAGTATAGCTGAATCTTTGGTTCTGTTTCCCGGGAGGCTATAGAACTCTGCTGGTGCTGTGGCTTTCTGGTACTGTTAACTCTGTACATGATTTTTGCCTTAGAGGATGCTTATATGTTCCAGAGGTTAGTGGTGTCACTATCAGATTCAAAATGGATAGGGTATCTGAAACTAGCTTCCTTGACTCTCCTTGACTTTCTGAGAGCTTCCTGACCCCAGAGACAGAGAGAAGAGGGAGGGATTTCGGTTTGTACATTGGTTCAGTTCTAGTGTGGCCTGCATCACATTCATAACAGTCCTACGTGATAGGTATGTTAGCAGCTACAGACATATACCTCTGGGTTACTAATGGTAAGGGACTGACCATCAACAGTTCCATGTGAGACCTTGGTGGCTAGTCCAGAACATTCTGAGTTTTAGAGAAGTGCACTATTTTATGTACTGGGTTTGTGTTGAAATAGTCTGTGTTGAATACTGAAATGCTACAAAGTGTTGTCTGTCTTAAGAGTGTATAATGGAATAAACTGAGCTTTGTTTAAGAACCATTATCTCTCGCTATACTAGAGTCAGTCCCTTGCCAGTCTCTGCCCAACAAATGAAAGAAGTCAGGGGAACTTGGGGTCCCAGGAATCCCTGGCCCCAAGAATGCCTGAACACATGACTCTCCCAGGCCTGGCTGCTCACTACTGTTCAACAACAGCCACTACACAAAAACACAAGCCAGTGTTGCATAGTGGTTAGAGTTTCAGACTAAACTCTGGGACACTCAGCCTCAAGCCCCTACTTTGCCGTGGAAGCTCACTGACCGACATTGGGCCAGTTACATACTCAGCCTAAGCTATCTCACAAGTTGTTGTGATGATAAAATGGAAGTGAGAAGAACGATGTAATCTGCTTTGTGTCCCCATTGTAGAGAAAGGCAGGGTATCAATGAAATCACAAATGTATCTAAAGATGGGGGACAGATAAAAGGTAGGTTGGTGGGTGGGTGAAAATGGAAGATTTGTATTCACTTACCGTGAAGCTTCCTTCTCGGTGGTCCAGAGTGGGGCAGTACTTGACTCCTTACTCCTGGGAAAGCACCTCCCCCTTCCGTAGGCAGGGCCAGCAAACTTTGATCCCAGAGGGGAGGGGCTTATCCTCTGATCCCCAGTCATACCGAAAGCCACCTCCGAGCTGCTGTAAATTCACTTAAAAAATAACTCCTTCCCCCTCAGACAACTGGGGAATACCATCACAGCCATGGGCTTAACCAAATACAAACCTGTATTTTAATCATTAGAGCAAACAAACAGCAACAGGCTCCTTGCATAGTGCTCATAGCACTGCATATAAATTCCATGCGGAGAACCTGTGTACCTGTGGTGGATTGAGGAGGCCCCCCTCAAAAACTGCCATATGTGTGGGTGATGGGGAAAAACCTACCTTTCCTAGCCCCTCCACCCGTGGAAAGGGCCATTACCTGTCGCTTTAGAGAACTAGTACTCAACCCTTTACTCGGACCCTATTGGAGAAAAGCCATTCCCATCTGCGCCCGCATCGGGTCCACCCCTGCTCTCCACACCAGTTAGAAGATGTTTGTCAAGATCTGTCATATATCTTGGTCATAGAAGATTTTCTGGACGCCAAGAGCATGGAAACCACCTCTGTCTCATATCCTAGAGCTGCTAACTGTCTCCTCTCAACCTCCACGCTGTGAGTTGTAGCATGTCCAGTTGCAGATGAACGGTCATCTCCTGAGATAGAAGGTCCCGACTGAGAGGCAGCCGCCATAGATCCTGTCTGGATAGGCTCATGAG